ATGACTTCGGCGTATATAATATACTAATTTACCGATTAAGTAATATTTAATATTGCTAGAGATACTTTCGGCCATCAAAATTTTCCTTATTTTTACCTGCCAGGCTGGGTCAGCGTATTTATAAAATAAGAAGTTCTCTCGAATCCACGCATATATGTTCGATAGTGACACTTTGTTATTATTCGCACGCATCGCCAGGCAAATGATCGTGGCATACGAAAATGGCGGTTTTGCGTCTGGGTCAGTTCGATACTTCTCAGCATTCGCTGCTAGATCTGAACAGACAAAATTAACTTATTTAATATTCTCGAAGCACAATGATTTTGAGTTTCAGTCTCTCGAATGTTTCTGTATATTTACATAGATTAGATATATCAATATCCCGCATTATACTGAACACGTACGTGACAAAGAAAGCATTAAAACTCTTCAGAAGGAAAACATAAATACAGGTGTAAAAATTATTTATTTTTGTTTTATTTCTTTTGAACAAATAATGTTCATGGAATGAATATTCGATCGATGAAAAATTGTCTTAAAAATTCAAGTCCCTCTTATGTTTTTTCAACAACGATTTTAAATTTGCTATTTTTATTATGAAAGCTAATTTTAGATATATTTCGCATTCTATTATTGTATTAATTTTGCATTGACTGATTTCTTAATTTTTCACTATGTTCACTAAAACTGTAGACTTCTATGTTGAAAATGTAATAGTATCTTGAATAACTTAAATAGAAAAATGAAAATTACTACTTTACAGAGTGCGCGTATGTTATGTTGAACTTAAATTGAATACAATTCAAATGACTAATTAATAATTGGAATAATACACAGTACATACGTAATATATGCGTGATAATAATAATAATTTTGTATTAACAATATTATTTTTTAATAACATATAGTGTAAGTAATCCCCGAATTTTTCGTAATATTATTTTACAAATTGCAAGTAGATGTGATTTTTGCTTACTAACATAATACCTACAACATCATACGATACTCGTTATTTATTTTTTTAATTTTTCAGATACTATTAACAATGATATTATTCAGATATAAACGATATATATCAGAGTTATTTTGAAATAATTATTAATTAGAGCCTTTTTTTGTTGTCAACTCCAAGGAACTTCAGAATTTGTTCAACAGGCACATAATTGATTATTTTTTAGTACATGAAGATAAAATTTAAAAAACACATTTTAACTTCAGTGTGAATTAATCATTGTACTCACGTATTACTTGTTAAGTTAATAATTAACTTTGTCCTTTATATCACAATAATTTCACTTTGTCCTTTCATTTATTAACCAGACAAATATAATATTTTATTAACTAAATCTAATAGCCTACAAATCTAAATTCACGTTAAACTTTTAGATAATAATTAGACTGCGAATTTTTATGCAAATTAGTATTTTTCAGAAATTTTTTCGCATTTTCTGCATTTTTGTCTCTTGGATAAAAATCCGCAGTTCCGTAATGACGATTCATACGTCGAATAATAAAGCTGCTGCAATAAGAGGGTAGCTTAATTATATCAATTTTAATAAACAAAAGAGCAAATCAAAAGTTGCTATGAATTTATAATCAATTAGTACTTATGCTTGATAGTATTTACATTATCCTTTTTTTCTTTAACCAAGTGAAAGACATTTTTATATAAAATAAATGAAATTCAATGAGAAATATTTGGAAACTGGAGCTGCAAATCCCTCAACTGCGTCATTTATAAAAATAAATCAACTGTGAGATATTTTTCATGATAATAGAGAATACGCGATGCAATAAAATCAATTTCACCTACCTAATTCGGCCTTGATCAGGGGTGAGAGCTTTTTTCTTGGCTGTCGCGTTATAGGGGGTGGAGATGGAGAACAGGGCGGTGTGGGCAGACTAGAAGCACTTGTAATATCGAGGGATTGCAGCCATGAAAGACTTGTCAATTCTGCTTCAACACCATAATCATCATCATGCATCACGTTCTCCTTCATAATTGATACACCACGACTCGGTTTCTCAGTATCGATCGATTCTGCCTTCATTTTCACCATTTTTCATCGCATATGCATCGAAGGCGTGCTAAATGCCTGGACACAATGATCGAAAATTCAAGTATATCCGTATGTAGCTCCTTTTCTATTTGTCCTAGTTTTATTATTAAAAAAAAAGAAAAAAGAAAAAGAAAAATCACAAGCATTCATCGATCACGAGATAATGCACAATATTTACATATCGCAGTTTTTCAAAGCCTACGATCAAAGGATAAAACTTAAAAATATTTGTGTCGATATATTCTCGCGTTTTATAATTTATAATTACAGTATATAATTTATAACAAGTATATATCTAGAATACTGTGATGATTTTACCAATGATTCTATGATTTCTTGCAATATGTCATTATTTTATTCTCTTTGCACATTGTACCTTGTCCAATGACGTTAAAAAAGAAAATTAATTTCTCCTGAGTAAAATGCAATTCATATTTCTTGTAATATAATAACATCTAATGTATTAAAAAAAAAATAAAAAAATTCACATTTATCTTAATTAAAATTAGATTAATTATGTTTAATGGATGCAGTAGAACCTCGTTTGATCCGAACACGTCGGGGGACAAGATGTGCTCGAGGATTTCAGATAATAGAAGGCTCACGAGCTTTATCACTCTTATTTCTTTGCATCATAACTGATCGATTACGAATTCGTGTATTGAAGACTCAACATTGATTCGTATAAACGAAGTGCTTGGAGAAACGAAATTGTTTTACGTGCAATCAAATATTAACAATCTACAGTAACATAAATAGGATCTAAAGAGTTACGAACGCGAATTATATTCGTATCGTCTCGGGTTCGTGCATTTCAATTCGCTGACGTCTAAACATCGTGACTGACATTGCAACAACAGTAAAAACAAATAGAGTGAATCGATACGGCAGGTTCACAAAGCGTAGTATTCAAGCAAAATTCCCACAACACACCTCTAAACGTTTCCAAAGGCAATACATCGAACAACGGGGATTGAAGATCCCTCACTCATTCGGCGAAATATTCACGCCAGCGTATAAAGAAGCTTGAGAACGTGAGCCAGGTTACGATTTATTACATCACATACGTACATTGCCGCGGAAATGTAGGATAACAAAACGTGTAAACCGCATGATCGTTCGAATGAAACTAGTACCAAGGGGTAACGAAAGCCCTGATAAACCCCCACTTTGGATCTACTTGCTGGCCGTAAGCCGTAAACCATTGGCCGTGGTTGGTGTGCGTGACAGGTGTTGGCTCCCTTTTGCAGGTGGACCATATGTACATGCTGTTCAAACCTGCGTGCAAACCTCTCCCCCCCCC